TTTGTAATGGAGTGTTTCTGCGATCTTTTTAGATATTTGTTCTTGTTTGTTCAGATGTTTGATTGTTCGCAAAATTAGAGAAATCTCAATCATAATTTACCTTGTGAAGACAAGGAACAACTAACCTCAAGAAAAGCAGCCAAAAACAGTGAAAATTAGGGAGAAAATGGCTAAACCAGGCTGGAAACAGCTGATCGCCGCGGTCGTGACGCGCCGCAGCCGCGTCGCGACCCTTTGGCCGCCTAATCAAGTGCCCGGATGACGACTGTATGTAGTGGGAAAATGACGGAAAAGCCAAGTCGAACGGCTAGAAACTTTTGTTCTACACGGCATTTGACGAGGATTTTCTGACGAATTTCTCGTTGGCATCGTGCCAACAACCGCTTTGATAGGTACGGCTGCACGTATGTATTCACATATCCATGTAGCAATGCTTCATATCAGTTTCACATGAAGCGATAAGTGTAACAGCGTCGATGTGACTGTGCGACCATTTGTGGGCGGGCGGTTACAGTGGTGTGGGGGGCATATTGCACCAGGGTTAGTGCCGGTGCCTTCAGTTGGAAAAAGCGCCACGCAACGCCTGCCAAGACGCACAAGATTTTTTTGAGCTAGGACCCTCTACGCCTTATCGATTTATCGTGCCACTTTCCTTTAAGCAGTAGGTCAGTTGGCACTTCAGCGGTGAAGCAGGTTCCATTCGTTGTGGGCTTTCACTAAACTGAGTGATCAAAAATTGTGACTATGAAAAGCTGTTGTTTGCAAATCCTCGTTTCTTTAGCGCGTGATCATCTACGTACGATTCCTTATGGAAATGAACAGGTTGCGGTCAATGATTAAGGATCGTATGAGTAATAATGCTAAGAAATACTTCGAACCATTGCTCAAAATAGCTGACGAAAAAGAGCAAAAGGTAAGGGACCATTCACTTTCCTATGGAGGCTTTCAAAATTCTGTGAAAACTAAGAAATTTAAGGTCTCACAAGTGGTTTCCGGTGCTGGTTCAAGCAAACTTCTTGCCGCAATACCTCAGGGAAAGGTAAGTTGGGGAAAGGTTGAAATTTTCTTGCTTCTTAATTGAACGATGCTAGTTTCAGAGCAAGAGTAGTGAAAAGGTCGATAGCCTTGGCAAAGAAATAGAACATGAAAGAACCAGCAATGAAAAGAAGGGAACGTCTAGCTTAAGGGTGAAACGAATGTTGGATCCAACCGAAGCCTCTCAACCTAATCAAAAGCCGACGTTATCGACGATTGCTGGTTTGCTGAAGTCTGTGAGTAACATAAAAATTACCAAAAATTCTCGGGTCCGTATAAAAAGGGTGATTCTTTCAATAACGCTTACAATTTGGGACCAGCGTTTTTCCTTTTCGGGGTAACAGGGTACGGCATCGTTGTGCGAACCCCATCGGGGGGTCGTGGATGAGCACCAAACAGCGCCAAAGTGTCATCGCTAAGTTTGATGGAGCGGACAGGAAAGCTGCAGAGGACCCGAATGTAAGGAAGACCACAAAATATTAAAGCAGTTGATTAGCAACATCAGTAGTAAGCACTAAGAACTCACAAATACGTAGATGACTTTATGGTACTTAACAAATCTGCTTGCATCGACAAAAATCACCTAAAATCAGAAGTTACACCTTTCCACCACCTCTGCGTAGAAGCGTAATGCACGGCGCACGCTCGGATCCAAGTCGATCGATGATAACCATGTTGTGCTTTGACTCACTTCAACGGGAATAGTGTTTTGAAGGCAAATTGAAGCTCGCCAATAAGTATCCTTACAATGGCTGAAACTGTAGAATGTATTGGAAAGAAGAAATATTGGGCGTTCTGAAAGGGTTTTATTTTTGCAAAAGATTGCGTTCGAAAGAAGTTATTCTCGTCTGAAGCATAAAAACCCGCTCGCGATTTACCACTAACGCGTCCGTAACCCATCCGGAAATATTTCACGAACGGGGAAGATTCAGATTGCGAGTAGGTAAAAAACGCAACGGTAGAGACATTGCTACAACATGCTGCCTTCCATTCAGAAGTCCCACACCTAAAAATATCACCCTAAGAAAAAGCCCCGCGATTTCCACCGGCCAACAGCCCTGCTTCATCGCTAACGTGCCATGGAATCATAACGCGGCCGCAAGCACTTGCGAGTCGTTACGTCA